CCGCTCCCCTGCCAGCTCGAAACGCCCCCGAGAATCCCCGCGCATCGCTGCGAGCTCTGGCGAGCAAAACGCAGACGCTCAAGGACTATTTTCAGAAAGGGCTGAAACCTTTTATGTGATTCTTAGTGGCTTACTTCAGAGATAAATTTCCATGAAAGCCTCTAATCCTGTTTAGGCGTTTCTTACAGAGTCGCCACACACCGCAGACATTATTTTCCGGGGGCAGAGCCGCTGCTCTCCCGTGGCTCTCACCGCTGCTCTCCGCCTCCCCCCGCCGCAGCGCCGGGCTCCGCGCTGCCCCGACATCCCCGGGGACCTTCGGCAACCCCTTCCCTGCTCCCTGCTTCTGGGGAAACAGCGATTTAGCTTCACAGGGTGTTCAGCAGTTCCTCAGAGCTCTGTGGTTTGTCTGGACGTGTAGAGAATCATCATATCACAGCCTGGTTTAGGTTAGAAGGGACCTTTAAAGGTCATCGAGTCCAACCCCCCGTGCAGGGAGTGGGGACATCTGTAACTACAGCAGGTTCCTCAGAGCCCCATCCAGCCTGACCTGGAATGTTTTCAGGGATGGAGCTTCCACCACCTCTCTGGGCAACCTGGGCCAGTTGTGGGAGTGTCTCATCACCCTCATCGTAAAGAATTTCTTCCTTCTATCATTTCAGTTTAAAACCATCACCCCTTGTCCTGTCACAAAATCCTGCAAAAAAAATTAGTCCCCATCCTTCCTCTAAGCCCCCTTTAAGTTTTTAAAGACTGCAATAAGGTCTCCCCAGAGCCTTCTCTCCAGGCTGAACAACCCCTACCCTCTCATCCTGGCCTCATAGGAGAATCCATGTTTTATACGAATGTGTACGTTTTGTGTGGATTTACATATTGTATTTTTAATGAGACCTGGAGTGGGTGCCTGCACCCTGGTTTGGGTAACTGGGGGGACACTGTAGGGTGCCTGCATCCTGGTTTGGGTAACTGGGGGGACACTGATCCTCACTTTCCTCCCACTCTCTGCCGCAGTGAATTGGCATCAACAGGGTCCAGCATCTGCCAGGTTCCTCGCTGGGACAAGTCACACAATCACACAGAACCCCCCCAGGTGGGGGTTGGAAGGGACCTCTGGAGATCATCTCATCCAACCCCCCTCCCAAAGCAGGTTCACCCGGCACAGGTTGGCCAGGATCATTTCCAGGCAGGTTTTAAATCTCCCCAGAAGAGGAGACTACACAAACTCTCTGGGCAGCCTGCTCCAGGCTTGGGCACCCTCACAGTGAAGAAGTTTCCAGTTTGTGCCCTCATCCTGCTGCTGGGCACCACTGACAAGAGCTGGAAAAGTCTCCCTCCTGATTTTCAGCTCAGCTTTATCAGGTGTTGCTAAGTCCTCCTGCAACGTGCAGCTCGTGCTTTGGGGCACCTTCAGGGCAGGTGAGCATGGGGGACCCCATTTCAAGGGGGACAGTCTCCCTGCAGAGCCACCTGCTTGCTTTTCACCTGGACAATGGGCTATGTCTGAGGGAAGGATGGAGAGAACCCAGAAAGGAAGGGGTGGCAAGGGCCCCCCCAGCCCCACACATACCCCAATATTGGACCCGTTGATCCTAAAGGTCTTTTCCAACCTAAATCATTCTATGTGCTGAGCAACACAGGGAAGTTTGGGCATAAATATCTGGTCTCAACGCCTGTGTGGGGAGTGAGGGAGACACCCAGCCCCAGGGCTCCCTGGAAGGAGTGGATATCTGCGGAAAGGTTAATTTTTTTTCGTGAAAAAATACTCAGAAATAGCCAAAACCATGCAGCAGGTAGAGAAGAGATCAAATCCCATCCTGGCACATGGGTCAGCAGCTCCTGGTGCTGGGAGCAGCGGTGCCCCATGGCTGTGTCTGTGTACAGGGGGTCGTGTTTAGGGAGAGGAAGGAGGGAGCAGAAAAGACAACAGAGAAGACCCCAGCGAGGGGGGAGTGGGCGCCTCGCTCCCTGCTGCCCTCCAGCGCTGGTGCTGCCAGGGGCTGGGGGGGTGATGCCGGGCTGCGAGTCCCTCTTTCATTCTGGAGGCAAAACCAAAAGCGCCGGTTTTGTGCCCAATTTAGCTCGTTTGGGGCGCCACAGTTTTTAATTTCAGCGCGCTTTAACGCCCGAAGTTGAAGCATTTGAAGTTGCACCAGCCGGGAATCGAACCCGGGTCGCAAGAATGGGAATCTTGCATGATACCACTACACCACTGGTGCGCTGAGTTTGGGGGCGGGAACGGCCCTTACGAGGTCACCTGGTCCAACCCCTTGCAAGGAGCAGGGATAGCTGCAATTAGAGCGGGTTCCTCAGGGCCCCATCCAACCTCACCTGGAATGTTCCCAGGGATGGGGCTTCGACCACCTCCTTGGGCAACCTGGGCTACCTGGCTCTGGATGCAGCCCAGGATGCAATTGGCTCCTGCAGCCAGAAAAGTTATCTAAAGGGGCCTGTGGGGAAGGAAATGTTGAGAACCCCAGCTCCAGCCTGTATGGATAGCAGGGTTGCCTCCACCCCTGTGCAGGATCTTTCACCTGTTGAACCCCATGAGGTTCACACAGGCCTATTTCTCAAGCTTGTCCAGGTCTCTCTGGGACACCTCGGGTGTGCTGACCATGCCAGCTTGCTTGGTGTCAGCTGCAAGGTTGCTGAGGGTGCACTCAATCCCATTGTCTGTGGCACTGATGAAGATTTCAAACCACACTGGTCGCAGTAGGGACCCCTGAGGGACACCACTTGCAACTGGTCTTCATCTGGACATCAAGCCATTCACCCCTATCCTCTATATGCAACCATCCAACCAATTCCTAACCCACCCCTCAAATCTGTATCTCTCCAATTTAGAGAGAAGGATGTTGTCAGGGATTTTTGGGTCTCTACAACACTCCTACACTCACTATGAGCAGTGACACAGCACAATGTCCCACCTTGGGAAACCCTCCAGAACCCCGTGAGACGTGGCCCCACCTCAACAGTGTCCCCGCAGCCAGCAGGAAGGACGGGCGGGAGCCGAGCAAGTACAACCAGTTGGGTGATGGTGCCTCTTGGGCAGCCACTCAGAATCCTGCCAGTGATGTTTACCAAACACAGGCACCCTCTTCCCCACCCTCCTGACGGTCCCGTTGGCCATAAACACCCCGAGTGCACGGGGTGCTGCCTGCCCTTTCTCCTTCACCGCCCTTTCTCCTTCGCTGCCCTTTCTCCTTTGCTGCCCTCCCCTCTTTGCTGCTGTGGTGACGTGAAGGGTAGCAAAGGGTGCAGTGATGCTGGGATGGGAGGCCACGGGGGGTGAAGCCCCCAAGTAGAGACGTTTCTTGCACCACACCAGCCAAGTGCTCCCTGGGCATCACGAGAGCATCAGTCCAGGGCTCCCAGGCAAAGGACTCTCACCCATACTGCTGGATCCACTGATGGTTGGATCCAAACCCAGCTGCCCCAGGAGGCTCAGCCCTGAGCAGCCGAAGCGTGGGTGGAGGTTGCAGCTCCCACCACTGCTGCCATCTCTGTGTTGCAAACAGGCTGCAGGGAGCGGCTGTCTTGTCCCTGTTGTGGTGACAAACCAGGCTTAGATCCATCAAGGTGACTTGAAATGAGCACTTATTATTGAGAGAGAGTTTGGGGGTGGTGGGCACCAGCTTGCAGAGCCACCCACAGCACTACAGCTGCTGACACCGACCCAGCAGGAAGAGAAAAGCTTGCCCTAAGGCAAGCAGCACTCGGGAAGCCACGACCATCACTGGGGCCATCACTGGGGTTCCAGCTCAGCCGAGTCCTCCTCCCTCCATCCCCACCAGTGCTGGAAGCTGCTCCTCGTGCAGGAGGTGGGGACAGCACAGTCTGTCCCTGCCATCACCCCTCTCCCAAGTGGAGACATGAAGGCTGCCTGCTGAAGGAGACTCAGGATCTAACTTTAATTCCGAGGTGGCTTTGAGAAGTGGCACTTCGTGACGTCTCTGCCTCATAAAGCCCACCTGGGGTGAACACACCTCGACCCACCTGAACGCTGGGCCTGTTCCCAGCAGCAAAGCTGATCTTCTCCCTTCCCAAGCACATTGCTGAGCTCGGATCCTGCCCAGCCCAACTTCCTCGCTTATCTGTGTCCACCCAAAGGGTTCCGGCGTGGGGTCCTCGTCCCCTCTGCTGCCGCAACAGTTCAGGAGGTGGCAGCAGGAGGTGACAGTCTCTTGTGTGGCTGGGTGGGCACGAGGGGCATGGCACGATGCGGGCACTGGGCAGAAGCCTGGAGGCTCCTCTGTGCTGCAGGCACTGAGCTTTTGGGGGGCAGCCCCAGCCCCTCTCTCGCAGGCTGCACCTTTTGCATCCCCTCCACGAGGTGGGTCCGTGCCAAGCGGCCGTTCTGCCCAGAAATCAGTTTTCAGGCTCAAAAAGGTGCTCGCTGTCCTCGAGCAGAGCACCCGACCCTTCCTGGAGCCCGTAGTAGAGGTCATCCTCCCTGGCACCTCCGTGGGGGGAGCCGGGGTGCTGTCCTCCCACCGTGGAGCTGGTCAGGGTGCAGCTGGAGCAGGTGGCAGATGGTGGGGACCGGCCCCGTGGCACAGGGCTCGCAGGCACCGAGCCCACCAGCGACGGTGTGTCCATGTCCTCCAGGAGGGATGCCAGCGGGGCGTCCCCTGGGGCCTGCCCAGGGGGGCTGCGGGAACAGGGGGTCACACTGGACAGGGGCAGTGGGCAGGGCAGGGGTCACAATGAACACAGCTGGGCTTCCACCCGCAGCTGGTGGCTGCCGGGCCCAGTGCTGGGCTCGGCGTTGCTCAGCCAGCATCCCAGCACCACCAGTCCCCTTGCTGGATGGCTGGGGCACCCCAGGAGGGCCCTGTCTCAGCCCCTGGTGCCTTTGTGGGGACAACCTGCCTGCCAGGCTGCTTCTCCTGCCCGTGGGACAAAGGAGCAGCTGCCCTCGCACACCGTGCCTGCATCCCGGGGAGAAGGCAGAGCCCCCCATCCCAGCTGAGGCTGTGTTTTGGCAGGTACCCGAGTCCTATGCCTCCAGGCTGCACAGGGACCCCCACCACCTGCAAAGCGCTTTTGGGACCTCCCAAACAAGTGCCTGGGCATCATATGTGGCAGCTGTTTTGAGGGACACATGCCGAGCATCTCATTGCTATCAAAAGTGTGACCAGGAACTTGGAATTCATTCCAGTGGGGGGTCTCGATGATCTCTGGAGGTCCCTTCCAACCCCTAATGTTCTGTGATTCTGTGATTCTGTGACACGGCTTACATTCATAAATTGAAATAAAAGCCAAACACAGATTGCAGCCAAAGGCAATCCAAATTTCCTTCTGGCAAATAATTTGGTACTGAGACTTCCCGTGGGCTGAGACACCACCTGGGCTCCAGTGGGGCTGGGGGCCAAGGGGTCAGTGCTGTGTGAGCAGCAAAGACCCCTCTGCTTCCTCTTCCTCCCTCCCTCCCCACTTTCATCCTGCAGCCCACCCGTGCCACCCCGACCCTGTGGCCATCACCTACCAGCTCCCTGCCGCCGGTTCCAGCCGAGGCACTGGT